AGGCCACTCCTACGACATTGCCATGTATTTCCTCAGTTCCTGATCTTGATTCTTTCTTGTCCTTCGCTTGTCCTCCTCGCGTTCGTCGCACGTTTCGTCCGACGTTTGCTTGCGTGAGTCAATCCTTTTCAGGGTACCGATTGCCGCTTCGCTGGCAAAGCCTCGCGATGGGAGGAGGTCTTTTTTTTCGTCGTCGGGATTCCCGGGGCGGGCGCGCGAAGTTCGTCTTTGTGGTAAACTACCTAGGTCGACCCCCAGAAAAGTCGAGGAGGGGTTGCGGGTTCTGTTCTGACGTAGTATCGAGATTTCCCCGTCCACTCAAAGGGGAGCTAGTGTGAGACAAGCTGCCGGGAGAGTTGATCTGCACAAGTCTCCAAGAGAGCAATTGGCGGGCTTCGGTTATCGTCTTCTATACGAAGAATTGGTCGTCAAGAGAAGTGTGACACACACTCTCTCTCTGGGCCGTAGAATTATGTAGGGAAAGACAGGGCGTCCGCTTTGTATACGGCCTGGTCTTCGTCCCTCCTCGAAAATCGACCGGCAAGCTACCTGCCGGCGTCGCCAAGCAGAACTCGCAGAAAGCGGTGACAGGTTCGTCCCTCTCGAAAGAAGCGCGGTCGCGGGTGCGCGAATGGGGGCGTACGTGAGACTATGAGCTGGGAAAATCGAGTTGCTCCGCTGTGCAGTTTGCCTCGGTGATTCGACCGCCGCCTCGTACTTGCACTGGCGAATTAGGGTCCTAGGAAGGGGACGTTTGGTAGCAGCCGTAAGAACGTAGCGGTCGGTGGAGAAGGCCTTGCTAACACGAAGTGTCGAATGGCAGTAATAGCACAGAAAGGGACAATTCGCCGCCTCCTTGCTTGGGGTGAGGAAAGCTGAAGGCTAAGGAAGACGTGAGTGGCAGACCGACGAGCGGAGGAGGGTAAAAGTTAAGGAAGATGGAAACCCGAGAGCTGAGGGGATAGAGAGACTCGAATGGCTCGCCCACCACACACAGCACGGTTGTTCGCGGTGTGGGTTCGCGGTAGGCTTTGTATTGGACCGGAGGCGGGCAACGGTTCAAAATGAGACTGGGTTCGGGAGAGTGGGCATTGTGGATGAGTTGTTGGAATTAGTGCTAATGCACTACGGCAAAAAGTATAGTAAAATACTTTATTATTACTTCCAGTCCAGTCTTTCCACTCTCATTGTAATTTCCTTGCCGTCCTGGCCCTCGATTCTCATTTGCTCATCTGGCTTCTCTGATTTTATTTTCTGCTCGCGTTTTATGAGAACGCTCTTATGCGGACACGGGACCCCTTAAAATAGAGCCAAGTGTGTACCAGAGGTCCAGACAAGTCAATTGTCGGGGATGGGTTGCAATTAAAAACGAACGACTCGTCCCACATTGAAAGAAAGCACGACAGGTTCAGGGGTTGGAGGTTCCAGCGATGTTCGAGAACAATGGGGGGGAGGAGGGGAAAAGAAAAATAGCCAGAACACGGGCTCAAGGGGAAAAAAGGCGACTACGGTAACCCCGCGTGGCCCCGGTTCGAGAAATGCCACTCCAAGTGTGCGTAGCAAGATACGTTACTCTTTTGGAAATGCACGCTGTCACGCACACGCAGATATATGTACTCAGCATCGTGACAAGTATATACTGATTGAAACTTGATTGCCATCTTGAATCGTTCTTTGACATTCTGCTACAGCCACAAAGTCTGGCTGGGAAACTCACAAGTCTTAGCATCGCGGAGACATCCAACACCCCTCGCTCTGAGTGGATATCATCGTCAGCTCCTTGCTTGTCACAACAGATAAACCACGACGACAACATCAAACTGTTTCTCACCAAGAACAAAGTAGCCAAGCAGACAGTGTAGACACTCGTTATCTACCAGACTTTCCACATCCATCTCAAAACCTCCCGCATCCCCTAACCAGCCTAGCGCCAAGCGCCGGACATCGAAGTCTGTGGTCCGGTCGTGTGGTCCACCACAGACACGTCAACCATGCACCGAAGGGAAAAAGCACCGACCACGTCTCCATGGCACGTCCCATCAATCAATCGATCACGATTTCACGACTCGCAACTTTGCTTCTTTCCGCTACTTCGGTTTCCGTGCTACCCCTTCTCAAGACGACCTCACTTTGAACTGTGTGTGTGGTGTACCGGTATTACCTCAACTCTTCGACCACGACAGATAAACGGTGAGAGAAAGGTGGTGTGAACAACGTGCCAAAGAAGCCAAACTTTGAGCCTGCAAATCCATAAACCTTTTTTTGCCCCAGCAACATCGCAAAAGCCACCCATAAGGCGTAGGTACTCAACTGAAAACAACCCGGAGTCAACTCCTAGTCTCCTACCGATGAACCCTCCCAGTACATGACTGACTACCTCGGCGAAAGCGACCAAAAAGTCGGAGAGGCAAAAACACCACGTCAACCCTTCCCTCCCTTACCGGAAACCCCAAACCTCATCTCACCTTAACCTCAAGCACCGCCAGCGTGTCCTGCATTGCATAAGATGGGATTTCTCCTCCTCCTCCTCTCTCCTGTCAAATCACCATCCCCCATCACCTTCTCACCGCGCGGAGTGTGCCGCCCGCCCGCCCCTTGAATCTCACCTTAGGTGTCACTCACCTATTTCTCCTTCTGACTATCATGAAATGATTTTCCTTGCAGTCAACGTAAATGTCACAGTGAAACTTATCTAGATAGAGTTCCGCTCCGTATGACCATCCTAACTGCAACGAATTGTGGCAAAATGGCAGCCACACTCTCGTATCATGTGGCTGAGGCCACACAGTAAGCCACACAGTGAGCCACACGTCCCGTGGCAGTGGTCTGTACGTACCTAGTACTCAACCACACCTCAAGCCACAATCATCTCCGAGTAGGTACCCTCTTGGGATCATCATTCGTTTGGGTCGCTTTGGTTGTCGTTAGGTAGAGGTAGATCACAAGCCTTGGCTATCCCTGAAGGATTTCTTTTTTTTTTTCTTTCTTTTCGTTCTCTTCAGTTGCGATCTGCCAAGTCATTTTCTGCTATCACGCCCGAATTCATCCATACCTCCAATTTGCAAAGGGCATCCCATATTCAAGTATCCCGGAGAGCCGCCGTCATCCTGGTTGGTAAAGCAAGTCCTCGTAATCGGGGCCTCGAAGCCCATTGTCAGCTTGTCGCTATGCCCTATGCCGCGGACTTTATTCTAACAGAACCTGGAGATCCAGGAAAAGGAAACATTTGTTGGAACAAGATGATGAAAAAGAGAAAAACACCTCCAAGATGCATGCCATTCCTTTATATCGCGTATACTGTTGGCCCTTTGCATTGTCAACGTTACAATAACCGATCCCCTCTTCCGAACACCATGATTGCGTGCGAATGTACTGGAAACACGTGCCGTTCTGGTTTTGCGTGGTATCATAGCCCCCCCTTCTCCTATTTATCCTCGCTCCGCCCCTGAACTCCCTCATCTATTGTGCGTTAAACTGCTCCTCCATCTGTTGCGCAGACGCATCCACGTTGTGGTAGTCGAGTATCTCGGAGTACCTGCAAAGAGTACTTCGTTAGCAAGTCCTTCATGAAAACTTTAAATGATAGTGGCTTACATCATGATCTTCCACGTGTCTACGGGCAAATCAGCATCGTTGAAACTCCAGTCGAACTTCTCCTCGGCGACGGGCTCGTCAGAGGGGTCGTGATAGGGAGCAAGGTAGTCGTGCGAGAGCGCCTCAGTCGCCGTTATCCGCTTCTTGGGATCAAAGACCAGCATTCTCTCCAAGAGGTCAATGGCGGAGGGGTCGGCGTTCTTGAACTTGTTCTTCAAGGGTTGCCTTTCGCGCTTGGGCAGGGACTTGACGAATCGGAGGGTCTAGGTCCGTGTCAGTAGGCAAACTAATCATCGCTTCGGCTCTGCATCAACTCACGTTTTCACTGGCAATGCCGTTGATGACATCGTCGGGAGGAGTACCGAGAAGCTCGGTGATAATGGAGAACTGGTTGACGTGGTCCTTGCCGGGGAACAGAGGCTTGCCCTCCAACATCTCGGCGAAAATGCATCCCGCACTCCAGATGTCGACCTCAACGTCGTACTTTTGCCATGTGAGCATGATCTCGGGAGCGCGGTAATATCTCGTCGAGACGTAACCAGTCATCTGGGGGTCCTGAATGCGGGCGAGACCGAAGTCGCAAATCTTCAAGTCGCAGTTCTCGTTGACGAGAATGTTGCTGGGCTTCAAATCACGGTGGACTACACCAGCAGAGTGGACGTATTTCAGGCCGCGCTGTAAACCATGTCAATTCAGGTGTCGGAGAGGATTCCGGTGAGGGGGCGGGGCTTACCATGATCTGGTAAAGGAAATACTGAATGAACTGCTTTTCGAGAGGTCTGGAGGTGAGCAGTCTGTGCAAGTCGGTGCCGAGAAGCTCTGTGACGAAGTAGATGTCCTCAAGAGGGGAAATGAAGATATCACTGAGAGAGATGACCTAGGTGGATATCAGCGCACGTCGACTAGACTGATTATGAAGAGAGGCAGTCAAAGGCGGGACCAAACGTACGTTCTCATGTCTCAAGTGCTTGAGCAGCTTCAGCTCACGGTATGTTCGCTTGGCGAGAACGGGAGTGCTGAAGGGCTTCATAATCTTCTTGACGGCAACATTCTGGTTGGTAAGTTGGTCACGGGCGGAGCTGCGAGCGAAGAAGACGTGTCAGCCAGCACGGATAGATGGTCGCAACGAGCGCTCGTTGCGATGGATGGTATTTTCTCAGACTAACCAAACGAGACCGAAGGCTCCCATACCAACGGGTTGCAAGTCCGAGTACCTCGAGGTGATCTCAAAGGTAGTACCGAAAATTTGTGCTCTAACGAATTCGGCCATTTTCGTGTGATGGTCGATCTACCTGATCGAAGAGGATTGAATTTTCGGATTGAGCGGCTGGAGGGGGGAGGAAGAGAGAGAGAGGGAGACCGATCGAGGGGAAGGATGGAAATTGGTCGTCGTACGGCGGGGAGGATTAAAGAATGATGAGGGGTGGCGGAGTAAAAAGACGACAGCCGGGAGATCGACGGGTCAAGTTATGCTTCTGCTGACGGTTCTGCTGTGATGAGCGAGAGACAGGCTCGATGATCAGCTCGAATTTGAACGAGGTGAGGGAATTCGAAGAAGAGGTTTTGCGGTATGTGAGGTGTGCGATGGGTAGCTTTCCGTCTGGTCTGGCGCGTGTATGGAAAGGCAACAAGAGAGCGGGAGTCGGCTGGATTTGAAAGAGATGCAGCGACGGCGGGGGAGCGAGCTCAAGGATTTGTTGCGCGCTGGAGGGGTGGCTGTTCGGCGGGGCGGTCCTGGTCTTAGGCCTGGTTCTGGGACGTGGATTCTTGGGCTGGGAAGAGAAGGTCGCTCGCTGGCTGGTCGTAGACGGTGGACGGTGGACTGTGGCCGTATGGGACGTGGGACGTGGGACGTGGGACGGTGGGCGTGGGATGTGTGGGCGTGAGGGCGTGGGAGTTGCAAAAAGGGCAGCGGGGTAGGTGGAAGCGTGGGCAGCGAGTGAGCGCACGTCTCTTTCTCCGTTTTGTCCTCCGCTGTCGTTGGGGGTACTTCGTACGTATGGCTGGACTGCCTTCAGGTACCTGCTGCTTCTGCGTCTCCTTCTCCTTTTGCTTCTGCCTTTGGGCCTTTTCTGGGATACTTTACGTGGTATGGGATCCGGAGCAACCTGAACAATGTGGCAACAGCATTAGCGAGACTTCTTTTCTTGCAGGGAAGCAAGCAGTACGCAGCACAGAGTACTGTAAATGGTAGCGAATGCAGCTAGGGGGGGACAGCAATAGCGGGACAAGAATCTGGTTTTTCTCCCCATCCTCCATGTTCTGTTCCTCCTCCTTCGTCATTCGCCGTTTTTGCCTATGCGTATTCCGTTTTTTGCCCTTCCGGTGCTGTCGATTTTGGGTGCAAAGGGCGTCCAATTCCATAATTCACCATGCCGTAGACGGCGCAGGCGGTAGCATTGTAGTACAAGAACGTGGGAACTTTCGGTGCAAGGGGGAAGTATGATGACGAGGAGCAGTAGGGGATATTCAAAATATTCCCCGGGCAATGACATGCAGGCTATTGAGAGGCTTGCTCACTTACAGAGATGAAGATCTCGGCGATGCTCTTATTCTATCTTTTGCAGTATTTCCCTCTTCTTTTTGTCTATCCAAAGCGGTTCGCTTTCTCTCTCTTTTTTTATTTTTATTTTTCTCTGAGTCTCTTCGGGATCAAGTCCGGGCGCGAAAGCTCAAACCGAATGGTGGCCGCGTTGATGGGCGCACGAGTGGCGGGCGCACGTGGGGAATGCAGGTAGCAAATCCGCACAAGTGTCGATCAGGTCGTCGTTCTCGTCTCTCGTTCGCTGCTACGGTGAAGCTGAGGATGCCGCTGGAGGGTGGATGCACAACAACACCTGTCGATAGATGGAGGCAAGGACGCGTATGAGACTTTCGGGGAGTGGCTCTCCTTAAGAAACCTTTGGACGTGAATGTGAGCTTTGGGGGTAAGAGACAGATATATACTCAGAATCGATTCGGGCGAGAAATGCGAGGAAGGGAAGAGTCCAGCAATACACAAGAGCAATACTTGAAGGGGGAAAGTACTTTTCAATACTTCCTACAAGGCGCGACTGAGTGAGTGGGAGAGGATAGCTACCTGGCGTAGGAAAGACATAGGGGAGAGGGGTGTGCACAATTCGGCCAGAAGACGGAGAGACAATGGCTGGCTCTGGAAGTAACATTGAACCCAGCGTCAAAGACGGATGAGCTTGCACGGTAAGCGTCGGAGTGAAGACAAGACAGGGATGTCTGTACCTTGCTCTACCCCCGGCGCTATTTTCCTGTCCAATGACATATCAAGGCAGGCGGGTTACGGATGAATGTTACTGGCGGGAAGGGGTGTTTCTCTGTTGAACCGAGAACTTGCAGGCGTTAACGGTGCCTTCCATGTACAAGACGGGCACAGTGGATGGGAAGGCCCGGGCAAGGTCAGGTAATAAGCAGGCTACATAAGTATGTGTACAGACTACAGAAGGTCTAACTGGACAGAAGGACAGGTTAGATGGGGACGGCAACTATGCCAGGTACTAAGGTAAGGTACTGAAATATGCACAATTACCAGACTAACCAATAAGTCACAGGTGACCAAGTAAAAAGGAGTTGACCAAGACTGAGATGAGACGACGGCAACGGCGACAACAACCACGGAGAGGAGCATAATGTCCGGGATGACTCGTGAGTTCATACACCAGAAGCAGAGAGACTTGCTTTCCGATTCGATCTTGTAGGTTCGAGGAGAAACAAGTCAAGATGAGGCTGAACTTATGACTGTGTGATGTTGCGTATGTTGTCTCTTACCGCGAGCCTCGGTCTTTGTGGATTGCTGTTTTGGGAGCGGCTGGTAATAACATGAGACGACGGGAGTATTGCTGCGAGATATCTGAAAAATGACCGAGAGACAACCAGAGGTTGACCTGTCACAAAAGGAGCTTCATGGAATGGCCTGAGCATCAGCGGCACCGCCAATTTCACTTTCAGCTCACCACGGGCCGAGCTTGGGAATCCCTCCTTCCATAGTACCGTGCCGTGGAGAACAAGATCTTGTTCAACGCGCAACTCAGACAAGATGGACAGGAGAAGACGTTTCTACGTAGCTCCGTTTTTTGATAATGATGAATTTAGACAAGGCACCGCTCCAGCCGGTCGCAGGTCACATAACTTCTCAATCCCAAGACCGGACGGCATGGTCTGGCTTGTTTTATCCTAGCGGCAGGGCAGTTGCGAGACAGCAAATCAAAACGTTCGTTGGACAACTGGTCGGTGAACCCGCGGCAGGGAAGGCAACGGTGAAGTATCAGCATGAAGTTCTAGTGTACCTTACCACCTTGAGGTACGGATGCGCAATCGTGGAATATCTGGGAACGTCCAGCAATAACAGATCGACGATGATGGTCTTGGCCTGCCCGCCGTGCCTACCTTGAAGTTGCCACTGCGACTGCGATAACACAACTGGCAGCTACTAGTTCGTGGTTCCTTCCCTGACGGTCCAATCTTCACCCTCACCTTCCCGCGCCCCTTGCGGGAGCATAGGACACCCATGAGCAGTCAGAAGGCACGCCAACGGGAGATTGCCCACCTGTCTTGCCAAAATGCCATGTTTTTCTCAAAGGCACTTCTGCCGTTTCCCGTCCAAATCGCTCAATTGCCGTTTTGCTCCTCCCTTCATCCAAACACCACGGGGAATTTTACCATCGAACATCGAGAAACCCCAGCCTCAAGTTACGGTGAACCTCAAACGGTTCCAATTAGGGTAGCCCCCAACTTCTCTTCCATTTTTCTACTGGCACCCCTACCTCAGTTACAGTATTCTCCTCCCCCGTTCCCCATCAATCATGCCCTTGCACCAAGCACGACCAAGCACCTTGCACCACCGGTCGATGCAACTGTTGAATTACCAGCATCATGGATTCAAGACACCATACCTCCTTCTCACGGAGGCTCGAACTCTGTCGCAGGAGCATAATCCTCAAGTGCGCATCCAATTCCCATGCCAGATCAGATTTGCCATCCGCAACGCGATACTTCCGCCGCTTGTGCATGCGCGCACATGTGCAATCTGGTATAATCATTCATCCCGCATACTTCTAGCATCATCCTCCCTTGACCAACCTCGACAGTGGATTCCTTAGCGGCCTGTTCCGATAAGCTATGTATTCGTATCTGATATCGAGGTGCATATAGAGAAGCCCAGGCTACATCGCGGCGAACGCATCCATCCGAAAGCTCTTCCTTCCACTGCACTACTCCGTACGGCACCCAGGTGCCAGGCGCATCAGAGGGGCTAGGTGTGAAAACCACCACAAAAAGCACCCCCAACCTCTGACGTCATTTTGAGATCGCATCGAGATGGTGCTGGGGCATGGAAACCTTCCTGTGTCGTGTCGCGTTGGCGGGCTGGGGAGGGGTGTGTCTGTGATCCGTCCCGCTAATCCAAACTCCAGAGACCACAAGTACAGCCGCCCCTGCTCTCCCCATCGAGTCCATCCTGTCAGCTTAGCGTGCAATGGAATACTAGCCGCTCACTGTCCGAGTTTCTAGCGCCCCGAAACGTCGACGACTTCCCTAAGCACTAACACGTTTGCCGTACCTTTCGCACCGTCTTGCAGGGAGCAGGAGACTACCCCGGCAATAACGCTATTCGATCCATGGTCCCAGTCCCTCCCAGTCTCCTCCCTCACCCAACATCGACTTCGCAGGCGAAGATCGAGAATCGAGAAAACGGTCCGTCACACAGCTCACCCAGCGCACATAACACGCCCCTCCTTATCCTCCCCAGCGGTATAGAATCCGTGTGACCGCCGCAAAGCAACTGCGGTAGCCCAAAATTCCCGTCACGGGGCTTCCCCGACTACAGTAGCCGCATGTTCTAGACTGGCCTGAACATGCCCAATTCAGCGCATTACCTGCTGTAGCTGGACAAACGTCCGGCCGCATTGATTGGGCTCCGAGGGAGAGAATACGGTATGGATCCCATCAAGCCCTTTTGCGGCACGGGAACGGGTAACACCTTTCTGCATAACTTTTCCTCTCTATATTCTCGATACAAACGACGCTGAAAAACAATGAATGAGTCTAAGCCCTTTTCGAGATGATTGTGGTACCAGATCTCGATTCACCACCATTGGGATGGAATTGTCAATGACAATCTGGGATGCTCGACAAGAACCGGTTTTGACATGCTTGTACCAAGTCATGCGCTCGATCTCCAGACTGTCCTGGCGATTGAGATAACGGAACCACATTCGCAATTCATCGCCCACAGCGTGCACCCACCAGACGCGACACGTGGATTTACAATATTCGGCTACCATTCTCGGCCAGCTCAGGTACAACGATGCATAGCGGCGACATTGGTTTGCTTGTGTGGTTGCAGAGTGGACACCTTCGAGTCAACAATTACCTTTCGGATCCGTCATGATGGAGTAAGATCATGACAAGCAGCACCATCCCACCCGGGACTCAGAAGCTTCCCAGGAACTCTGAGGGTGACATGCGTACAACTTTTGGCATATTGTGCCCTGGCTTCGCTGTGATGGATCTCGAATTGGACCCATCCTGCCGGGAACCTCCAGGGGTCAACCTGTGTGTAATCCGTTTGGTGATGCTAATCCGAGCCGCAGAGAAGAAGAAAACGGCGCGGTGCAGCGCGAGGCGGGAGAATGTACGAAAAGGACCCTCCAACTCTGTCCCTACCTCATGCAGCCAGCAGGTGTACCAGAAAAGGATGAAATGGTGGGAACACGAGCACACACGGTCCAAGGACCCTTCATCCTCTGGACCCTGAACTCGTTCATGTGTATCGAAGATCATCCCGTTCATTTGGACTTGTCAACACGCTGATTCGTCAAACTATTCCAAACGACGCTTCTGTTCCGTGATCTAGAGAAGCATTCACCACCAGGGCAAGCTCACGAGCCGGCGTTGCGGCCGATGTTGTCTAAGCTCCCGGCCGGTGCGAAACTAGCGCTAAAGGCCATGAGGTTCCTCCATTAACCACATACTCAAGGTGGCCGTCTGACGATTCTCTTCCGAGACCAGAATCAGTGCATACCAACAACATGACCCCTTTGCACGAATCGTTTCCTCAACATGAGAATGCGGCCCTGAAGCCAAAATCACATTCCGCACGCGTATTACTCTGCCGAAGGCCGTGGCTCTGCTCTCGGCGTACCATGGTTTAGCCGCCAGCGTATTCCTTTACTCGGCGAGATGAACAGTCTCTTCGATGCCGGCCGGTTCATACCGTTTTGACAGATGGATAGAGGGGGGAATGCCGGAATCAGGGACCTAACAAGGGCCAGCATTCATACCTCTCGTTCCTCTGATGTCATTAGGCACCTCTCCTCCAGTCTTTGCTCTCCCAGGCTCCAGCAGGGCTGGCTTTGAGTTGGTCCCTTGGTACACCACCAAAAAAAAAAAAAAAAATAAGTAGCAGGAAAGGAAAAGCAGGGTCTCGACTTTTCCCACATTCGCAAAGATGACGACAGCATTCAACCCAATATAAACCTGACCTTCTTCCCCGGAGGTTGTCCCCCGGACCAATCTCACTCGCTGCCGACATGCCGTAACGGATCGGTGTTGTCTTACGCCCCATACGGAGACGTACACCGGCAGGCGGTCGGCCAACCCAAATGCACACACCTTTTTTTTTTTTTTTTTTTTTTCGTTTTCGAATACACGCACATACAGCACGCAGCCAAACTGTCTTCTTTAAACTTGTTTCCATTGTTTCGCAAAGGGCATGTCAAGCACGCAA